AACTTATTAAAAATAGTTTAATTTAATGTTAAATTTAGATAAAAAAAAAATAGTGAATTGTAAAATATTGGTGTAAATTAGTTATTATAAAGTTAAGGAATTGTATGTCATAATAAGTAACGTCCAAATTAGTAACTGTTTATGTATTCAGATATTTGCGGATTTTGTGTATTTCAACTTATATAAGTATTTGGGATATTTCCGTAAAAGAAAAAAATGTGTCTAAGAGAAAGAAATGCGGTTCTCTTCGTATAGATAAAATATTCTATCTTTTGCAATCTGAATATGTTCCAATCCCGGATTACATCAAACCAGAGACAAAAACAAGTACGGCGCTTTAGATTAACTCGTTTCGATGAATTATTAATCGAAAACAAAAAATACACACACGCACAAAGAGGAAGGACTTTCTCATAGATCCAACGAAAACGAATGCGTTAATCCATTCTCGATACAAAATTCAACAGAAAAAAAAACAAACATAAAATTATCGGAAATCAATGAGATTGTACCAAAAACAGAACGCTTACGCTATTTCTTTATTCTTGTTTTGTTTTCTGTGCCGCAATCGGTTGTTCGTGAGTTACGAGGGTCCGTACATGGACCATTCGGCTGAGCGCAATTTGTAATCGAAACTATTCGATAATTGGAGTCCGAGAAATTCAGAAAAGTCCTAATGAATTGCGCTCACGTGGAAATTATTTCCAGCGTAAATCAATCCGACGCCCGTGGTTCTTCTTGGCCGTTTAGAAATCGCGCCTCTGATTTATTCGTCAGATCCTATATGGTTCGACGAGGAATATATTCTTCAAAAAGGTGCTTTTAGGTGAGGAGAGAAAACTCGCGGATTCTCTAATTGAACAGTGTCGACACGTCCTGCACGATCCGAACATAAATTATCGAGAAAAGAACGCACGCACCTCATTGATACTAAACTATTTGACGTGTTTCTTCATCTCAATTTCAACGATAAATAATAATCAAGAAAATTGTCTTACACTTGACAATTTTATCGGCGAAAAGTAATTACTATAGATCAATTTTTTTGCCGCACAATCCAACATATTTCTTTGTATATGTACGACGACCCAATTGCTATTTCACCAGTTCTTCGCTCTTACACGAGGTGACAGCTGACTTTCGCGATCCATTAAGATTTGAAACCCAACCCAATTTTGGTTTGAACCCATATAAACTATCTCGTATCAAATATTTGATTTCCTAATAATAAAACTCACTTTACAAGTATCAAGTACAAGATTAACGTTTTATTATATTATTAATAAAATGTTTATCATTATTGTTATTCTCGACAATCATTTTCTAAGCAGTTTCTGTAGCGAAATAAAGCAATAACAATTATATCTTAATGCAGACACTTGACGTCAGGGCGAACGCTTTAAATATCAGTCATCTCGGTAATTTCTATTATGCTCTCTCTTCCACGATGGAATCTTCCTAGATGGATAGATAAGATTGCCGAGGCTCGTTTACACGAACAACTTCCGCGAGTCTAAAATCGCTATAAATACGACTTCTTCTCGACAACATTCTTCTTCTTCGCAAACGAATTTGACGCGGCTTCGGTTCCCAGACATCCTGATTAACGATAGATACATATTATTTCTTACTTACACCGGAAACCAGCGTGTAGTCACTCGTCCATCAGTGCAAATATATTTGAAAAACAAATTTAAAATTACTTTAACTAAAATAAGTTTTAAGTATAAAATTCATACCTTATTGATTAGAAATAATTTAAATATTTATCAATAATTCATAATACAGAACATTTTGGCTCCATTGGCATATATGAAATCATATACCAAATCCAAACAAAAAAAAATAAGGAAATTTGTAAAATTTTCAGTTTGTTAGGAATTATCAGAAATAATTTAAATATTTCATTCAATGATATTATTATAGTGATTCTATATCTTTATCAAATGAAATGGTCAAAATAGAGCAGTTCTATATGAAAATAGAATCTATTGCAAAATGGATTAATTTAACAGTAATTTATTTTTACTTGAAAATATACTGCATACAAAAATTTATATTACGATTGAGTATAAATGTATTTATTTCTATTAAATTTATAATTAATTTATTCAATTAGCTTTCAGTATTATCTAAAAATAATGATCAAATGTATCTAAAGGTTTATAAATGCGTTATTCTATAGATAGAAGATGGTTTTATCCTGGAAAAGCGATGTCGAGTACACCTTTACGAAAGTGGAATGCACTCATTTCCACGGACATCTCAATGATTTATTCCATATCGCCGAGTCGGATTCTCGATCTCGTTCTCGAGTGGAGGAATATGTTCTGCGAAGAAGAGGTGTTCGCTGTTGAGTAGACGAGAAAAGGCTGTCGATTCTCTAATTGAAAAGAGTCGAGTTTATCGGATGACAGCAGCAGCAGAAGGAGCAGAAGCGGTAGCTGCGTCTCTCAGGTCGGCAAGGCCGTGTCATTTTCGCACATAAATCACGCGCCGCGATAATTAATAGCGCGATCGAGAAGCGCGGGGACAAAAAAACAGACAGGAGAAAGATGAAGAAGAAGAAAAGGAGAAGAAGCAAAAATGGTTGGAGGGAAGAGCGAGGAACGAAGACGGAGCCGAAGAAAAACGCACGTCATCCAGGTGCGTCGCATCCAGTTGAGGTCTTAAATTTTTATGGGCCGTCATTCTTCAGCATTATATCTCTTCACCAATTAGTGTCGATATGAAATAAAATGCGATAATCTTCGCTCTAATGCTGCCCGATCGCAAGAACTCCAACCCGATAATTGGTTTTTCCTTGTAACATCTTCATTTCATCACGTATCACCTGAAGGTTCATCAGGTGGATCGAGGGGAAGAAGAGAAGGATGAAGAAACACGGTGCGAAAGACACAAAAGAGAAACGAAAACAGAGAGAAGAAAATGTGTGTGTGTGTGAATGTGATGTGCGTGAGTTGCGTGAGCGAAATACTCGGGAGTGAAAAACGATGAAAACTGGAAACTCTGTTTTTCGCGGGAAACCGAAGGAAACGCCGTGATATAATTGCAGACTTCGCCTTATTCACTTATCCATGCATATTTATTATTAAATCGAAGCCGCGGAGTTTAAGTTTTCTTCTTGCGGAAGCGTCTGCGGGCGCCGTTGAATGGATGCAAATAACACTAGTTGTGACGTTCGAAGATGGTCATTTGATGGATCGGCACATCAGCCTCGGGCCCTTATCGCTTTTCCAAATAGCGGCCTAAGGGTTGCAACTTTACAAACTTCTTCAATTCCTCTGTCTCTCATCTCATTTTCTCATCTTCTTTCGATAGTCCGTGCAGCAGATCGCGTTTAATCCGCGCAATTATTTTTAACGAGACCCTCATCCACCGATTACCATCAAGGAAATATTAAATTTCCCCCATTCACAACTCTCTTACACCTAAAAAAATATATATTATAAACAAATCAAATAGCTAAATACGTTTATTAAAATATATTAAATTTTCTGTAAGAAATTATCCAATACATTTATTCTCTTGACCGAAAATATAAATTCGAGGCGTTGGGATTAAAACTTCGGTCGATAATGAATGAATCGAATGTAATTTTTTAGAATTAAGGAATAACAAGGAGTATTAAATAAATCAAATCCAATTGAAATACCTAGTATTTATTAAACATATTTTTTTTTACAAATAAAATCACATATATTCTTATTTCTCATTCATATAATCTTTATTATCTATTAAACTGGGCGGTTAGGTCATTATTTCCAAAATAAAAAAGAAAGAAAAAAACGACAAGTATACTCGTTCACTCTATATATGTATAGATATATCCATATTATAATATAATAATTATAATTATACATCAAGCATCATGACTTCCAAAGAAAAGAAAAAAGATATCGAACAAAAAGAGAAATTTAGAACACATCCAGAGTGTTAATAAAAAAAACAATAGAAGATGAAGTATTTACACAAGGTTTATGTATCAATTTATTGTACATATTTATACTTTACACAAATAATTATTATTATCATCAGATCTGTAAATAAATCATATATATATATAGTTATTTTGCTTATCCCGTATTATAATAACACTAATTAAGGACTAGGATCTATTCGCTAATAACTTTGGTCACGAATCAACTGAATGCTTCAACTTATCACAACTAATTCACTTTCATTCGCCTTATACATTACACGCAGATGGAGGAAGTGAAACGCGAAACTCGCCTTCGCTCCTATTTTTTTCTCTCTTTCTTTTGGTATCTCATCTAATCTAGGTGTTCAATTTTAAATCAATGAATTAAGAGCTTAATGAGCATAATTGGCATATGGCTTTAATGAATTTGCAGACGTGATAATACATATAAAAGTAGATCAATTTTTCGCAATTTCACTTTCTAACGGAATAAACGAAGACGTAGCAGAAGTAGTGTAATGAACGAAAAACACGTGGCAAGAAAATAAGAGAAACCGCGAAGAACTGGAAAAAAGAACCAAACAAAACGAAGAGAATGCGAAAAAATAAATAAATGATCTGCACGGGACACGCATTTAACTTTGAGTTCGATGAAATTGCAATTAAAATATCTTGGTCTTTTATAATATATGTTTTTTTGTACCTCCAATCGAATCGTCGGAGAGAGAAAATCGCTACAGTCGTATTTTATTGGCAGTATGTCTTTTCCTCAATTCATTATTTTCTATTAATTTGAAGACAATCGTCTTTTTTTCCTCTTCATCTACTTTTATATATACAAACACGCACACATCTTACATAGCCAACTAGTTTTTCTACACCAAACGCAAGCGCACAATTGCTATTTGTTCCATCTATTCATACGGCTCCCATCAAACGGAATTTTCCTTAATTAGTTGCATTTTCTGGTGTGCATTCTTAAACAAATGTTTAAACAGAAGAACTTGAGGAAAACAATCAAACAAACAAAACTTAACAATGAAAAAAATATTTGCTAACGCACAAACTGAAAAAAAAGTTTCCTAAATATTAGCTCTTATATAATACTTAATTAGAAATCCACTGATTATATATAGATATATACTATGAGTTCCGATTATCGTCTCATTTTGTCGCGAAACTTAATACCTATCCAATTAATGAAAATTAGCCCTAAAACTACTTTTAGGTATGATCCTAATTACCATTTTCTAAAAAAACAAACATCCAAGTAGATTTAGTCTACAATTCACAACATCTTTTAGATACAGCAAGATTTAGTGATCTATAATCTAAACTTATTCATACAAATCGCTTCAACAAAAACACAAATATTTTTTGGCGTGATGTTTTTGATAATTAGAGCAAAGTCTAATTTAATAAGTTTAAATTGATTATCTAAGAGAATTTGTAATGTATTGTATTAAAGAAATTTGTAAATTTTACGACAGATATTCCAAGCTTTTTTTTGGGTGTTGGCAGTCACGTTCAAGGCCACTTGTATAGTGCGTTTAACGGATGATTTCTGCGCCATAGACGGATAATCAGGACAAAATACTATTATGCACGTCCTAAAAACTGGTTAAGCGAACTCGGACAACATGCATACACACACATATAATACCTAGTTGCGAAAAACTTGAAGCATCCCTTCAGTAATAATTATTCATCGATTTACAAAATATTTAACAAAATAAATATATATTTATATTTCTCTCCGTTCACGAATAATTACATCTTTGGAAATACGTCGTTTGCGCCATAAAAATATTCGTCATCTACTAAATTCCGCCGCAACTCCTTCCATCCTCTCGATATATATATTTTTTATAGATATTCATTTTTAATATATACACAAGGATTCTAGGTTTAAGCTTATAGACTGATCGACACGTTAATTACAATTTTTTTTTTCGTGCGTTTTAACTTGATCTGGTTTTTAAACTTACTTTGTTGTAGTATACGAGATATGTTTTAAAAACTAAACAAACAAATAGTTGTAACGCTCAAACCGTAAACAGTATGCATCTCTTCCATCTTCTTCTAAGCCAAATCGGAAGCCGTAGAGAGCTTGTAGGAGGTGTTGTCACACATGGATCGATTCTCCATGGCAAGAGAGACAGTGTCGCCGCATTGGATCTCCTCCAGTTCGCTCTCCTCCAGCAAGGGAACACCTGTGTGATACGTGTCTTCATGTGAAGATTCTTTTTTTCAATATTTATTTGTGTATTTTCTCACCTTCCGTGTTCAGGACCGAATTCGTGTCGAATGAAGCCAAACTACCGCAGTGGGCCCTGCAGGAGGCCGGCTGCGATCCGCTATGCGAGGATGCGGTGTCCAAAGTCACAGTGGTCGAGTTCTCGGATACGGCCATGGTGTCCGTGGAACCCATCGGATCACCTCCTGATCTCGTGCTTGCAGAATGCGAAGCGCTGCAAAGCATTTGCCTATTAACCTTTGGGAAATTATCTTAATTGCTTCAAGAAAGATAGTTATGAAAAGAGAGAGAGATACAACGAAGGAGTGAGGAATCACGCAAATCTTATTAAGCACAAAACTACCAAGGTAGAGAGAGATGCAAAGGGTGCTTAGGTTATAACCTAGTAAAAGTTATTATGATTTGTATACGGCTGATGGAATCTCTTCGCTAGGCCGTTACCTTTGCGGCAGATGCATATCGCCACTTGCAGCCGTGACAGTTTCACACCTCGCGCAAAAATATACAGCTGAAATTATTGTTATTACGGTTTCCTCTCAGAAGGGGGGCTTCGACGACCATTCGAAGCCTTGTTTATCGCAGCGAGAAACGTAAAATATGATTATTGTAAATCAATATTTGATGATAAGTTTCAATTATTTACAAGATTACAACTACTGATTTTTTTTTAAGTTTACCAAATGTATGCAACAATCATATTGTTTATAAAAAATGTTTCATAAATTTCGAAAAATACTAGTTAGTTTCGTTTATAAAATAACATTATAATTAGATCAATAGAAATACTAATAATCTACTTGTTAAACCAAAAGCACAATTTCGTGATGGCGTTGAATTTGTCTACAACTACTATTTATTTTGTTTACGACCTAATAAGCTTAAATATTATAATTGGATGAGTGCAAGTAATGGTCTATTATATAGGAGCAAGTATTTTGGTAAACCGCAAAACAACACTTGAGGTTACTCGAATTACGTCAACGAAATCAAGATTAAAAACAAATTATCTCCAATGAAACGAGAGAGGCAAACTCGTTTTCTTAAACCACTAAATTAATAATTGTTATTACAGTAAATAACACTAAATTACCGTGGAAAGTGTATTTATTACGCATCGAAGTAGTAGAATGAATGGACGAAAGACGCGAACTGATTAATCGTACAATTGTTGCGGTTCGGATAATTCGCTGGGAAAGAAGAGAAGTGAAAAAGATAGAGGAGAAAGAGAGATGGAAGCAACGATGGTGGTTGAAAATGTGATATGTCCGGTCGCGGTAATAACTCCCTCCGGTGATGTGGTGATGTTTTAAGAGTCTCTGCATGTATTGCCGATACCACGGGCAGATAACATCTTTAAATATTGAGTGCAATTTTTATTCCAGATGCAACACCTCTTGCTCTTCAAGAAGAGATGCGAGGATCGTGCGTGCTTCTATATATATATATTTATAAATCGCGCATAATTTGCAGAGATAATAACAGCATTGAGAGCGCCCTTCCCGCTCTTCGGTTCCTCGCGGATCGCGCGTTATATAAAATAATCGGAATGGAGCTTTCAAAGTATTTTAACAAGATAACCGCCCGAAGTGCCGCCGTCGTATTGACAGCAGTCCGCAGACGCCGTTTAGCGACCATTAGTCATCTTAGCCGTGTAATCATTGCCACGTTTATAACCGAAGACGAAAAAACGGCCGTTCAATTATTGTAAACGATCCTGATCCCTCTCCGATGCTCCGCAATCTTCGACACCCGACCGTGTGAAATCCGAAGACCGAGGAAATAAATGGATGCAGGTAAACAGATCAACTTGGTAACATCAAACATTCAACTTTCTTATACTACGGTTTGCTTAAATCTTCACATTGACTATTGTTGTTTCCAATCCATTTGATTTCGAAAATCAATAAAATTATTCCTGTTCAGCAATTAAAAATAATTTAAATAATTATACCTGAATTACATACAAATATATAATTAAAACTAAACATAATAAGTTCGTTATTATATGAAAATCTATACTCAACAATTGTATTTACTACATAAACTTATTACTCTCAAACTGTTACAACATACATTTCTTTGCGTAACTTCTTTACTTAAATTAAGTTTGTTTTTCTTGGATTTAATAATAATTGTAACAGTAAGCATCAATTTGTAAAGTGATCCAAAATAGCATACCATATTCTTGCATTATAAAACACTAGTGTTGTTGTGTCGAAATGAATACTAATAAAATTCCTATAGTATACTTAATAAGGTTATGTATATAATTGAATCGTAATGTAATATACTAGACGATCTCGAGTTAAGAAAACGAATGGATTGAAAGTGGGAGCATTATGTTTTATCAAGCATTCAAAAAAGTAAAATAAAAGATAAATTAATTACTGGTTCTTTGAAGACAACAGAACGATTTGTCTAAATCAGAACATCAACAGTTACCATTTATAAGATTTCGAGCGTACAACAACAATGCATCGTCCTTATACGATCTCGAACAATGTATTAATTATAAATGTCTCGCGAGAGTCACAGGTGATAACTAATGGGCGAAGCATTAGCTTTTATAGGGATGCCGAACATTAATTAGCCCTGGAAAAGGATGGCCACTTTTATTATTGCGGTCGCGTGCTTAACCCATTTAAGTGTCTCTCTTTTGATGTCTCGTTCTTCTCTCTCAGAACACCTCACCTCGCCACAACGTCTTCCCATCCTCTTGCGGGTTATTAAAATCGCCTCACATCCCACGAAATAATATCATTTCGACGGTCCAAGCTCGCCGCCCCTCAATAAACCATCCGGAGGCACCACACATCACAAACTTGAACACTCACCAATACCAAAAAAATAAAAAATAAAACGTTGAAGAAATAAAATCACAAGAGAAATTGTGCGAGGATAATGATGAGAGGGCTTCGCAAACAAAACGAAAGAGAGATGGTTAAAGAAGATGAAAAAAGGAAAACGAGAGTCGAAGTTGGAGCGAAGAAACGGAATCGGCCGGACGATAAATGGTCGCAATAAATTTATTTAGTGCGGAAAGTTCGATTCCATTTTATTTTCACTTTATTCCGTCGGGTTCCCCGTTTTGACGCCGCCTATTTTACGGCTGCGCCACGGTAATTGCCGCATTAATTAACGCAGAACACGGCCTGCGTGCTAATTCACAATATCATAATTTTCATATGGCAGATAAACCTAGGCCATCCATTCCGATCGCATAACATACCATCGTAGCATCGCGAATTCAAAACCATCAACAACAAACAACTACAACAACAAACTATTTGAAGAAAAAGACATAGAAATATCATTAACATATTATCTACTTAAGAAGCAAAATCAATCTAGTTAACTAGTTAACTAATCTAAGATTATTTATTTATTTACAAATAATTGATTAGGAAAAATATATTTTGTTACGCTTATTGTAATTAAAGTGTTTACAAGTTTAATTAGATTTAATGCATGTAAGAAATAAGACAATTAAAAAATGATGATGTTAAAAATTAAATCCATGATATTTCATTATAATAAGGATTAGATAATGAAATATCATGGTCAGTTTAATGCTAAATGATTCTAGCTCATTATAAAATTAATAAAGATTTCAGATTTTGAAAAACGATTGATTCTTCATTGTTAAGCATCGTTTAGAAACTAAATAAAGAAGTAGATTCATTGACCCCACAAAAGAAAATGATTTGAATAATAAAATATCCAAATCTTTCTTCGGTGTAATTCATTTATAACGCACTAAAGATGAAAATGTCACAACAAAACCAGACACTAAAATTTATTTGATCTAATGATAAATGAAATAATTTACGATTATTGAACAATAAAAGAAAAACGAATATAGATATCCAGCGGATTATGTTCCAATGCAATTGATTATTCTCTAAGATCATCTCGCAAAATGCGTTAATAATAATATTAAGAATTTACACATAAATAACTTATTATATACAGAATATATTGGCTTTTAGTTCTTTGAATAACAAAACCGGTCGATGGAACGATGATAAACAATCACGCGCTTATGTAAAAATATTCGAAATAATCCGATGCGATATTCCATCATTTAGAGGAAATTCCAATTATATACAAGTCGACTAATTTATTTGACTCGTCGTTTTGATTCATGATTCATGAGATACGTTGCTTTTTTTCAGCTTTTTCCTCACCCACTTAACTCGGAACCGGTCAACTAAGTTCATAATTAAATTTCTTCTCTATATATATATACAGAATGATGTATAATGCTCGATGCATTTGATAAATCATCATTATATGTAATCCTCTTATTGGACACATTCCCATTTGGATGTCCTTTCCATACAACTCAATTCAATCGTAAACAACGTAATAAGTTTCAATCTGTGCAACAACAAAACGCTAGTCTTCATAGATAATCAATCTGAATTCGAAAATAGAAAAATCGATCAAATTGAATCGGTTTCTTTTAGAAGTTGAATACATTTCTTTTTAGAGCCCATAAATCTTCCTAATAATAAAGAAGATGTTTATATATTTTTTTGAGCAATCACTGAAAGAGCAATCCTTTCAACAAATTGCCGCTGCGCACTTTCATGCGAAATTGTTTAATAACAATTATTTTTTATTCGGTCGCTAATTGGAAAGTCCATTTAAGAGCCGCCCGGAGGAAAAAAAAAGGTGGCATTAAGCAATCGTGAAAATTGTGGCTAAAAGCTTTATTTATGTCAATGACGTGACATTACGATAACTGGAGAAATCCAATTCCCGAAATGAAAAAATAAATAAATAAATATTGCATTTTTATAAGAGCTGTTCCGAGAAAGTCATTTACAGAAATACCGAGGAATTTTGTTGTACGCAAGTTGAATTATCCGACATTGTGTGTGTGTGGCAATAATAGAGTTTTAATAAATCAAGACGTACGGTGAGTGGATTAATTGGCGAGTTTATTGCTTCGAATTAAACTTTATTGGTGCCGTATTAATAATGCTGTCTTTAATGAAATCCGGAGTATTACCCAAGAAACCGAAGAAAAGTTTGAGTAAAAATCGTGTGCGCCGGACGCAATGCTAGGAGAGCGCGAAATCGTGTCGTACCGTAGGATAACGACAAACGAGCGAAAAGAAGGTAGGGAAAAAATGAGGAAAAGAAGAGAGAAAAAACGATAAAGGCGAACGGTGCGCACCATAAATATGGATTTATGGTCCATAAATGGGGGACATAAAATGCGTTTATTTCAATAATAAATTTGGGGGGTCGGGGGGCTGGTTCGAGCAATGCACGAGAAGCTGAGAGGTCCATGTGGAAATGAATGAAACGGACGAAAAAACAAACGTTACAGCACTTTACTGCTAATATTAAACGATTGAATTTATATGCAACGGTGCCGTTACCTTTGTCCTTTTGTTATTTTCGCGAGGTTTACCGTTCCCTGGGGAGAATGGGTTTAAATACCATTGTGACAGAAAGGCATATATCCATAATCAACGAGGTCGAACGAGATGATAATAATATTTTACTCGATTTCCACAAAGCTTTGATGTAAATCCAACCATTAATCTAATAATATTCATACTCCAAACCACAGCATGCACACGATTTTGTAATTTTAAGTAACCACTTTCAAAATCTTTTTTTTATCAAATTTATTCAACACTATATGTGCACGATTTTTAATAGACTTAAATAAATTTTGTTATTATTATAAGAATTGTCAAATTTTCACGGGAAACATTAATTTACAACTAATATTATTTAAATACTACATGAAAAAATACTTTTAACTAAACGATTTGATTGAATTTATGCAATAAAAAATTCTGATTTTCGAAGATTTTCTTTGCAATCAAACCTTCTGGGATTTATTGTTCTAATATATTAATAACGTTTTTCCTTGATTTTTTTATTTCATATAATTTTATTCACAATCTGTTCATCAATGTGAACATTGAGTATATTTAAGATCGCGGTTGACATTAAATGGATAATCTTTCCCAGTGGATAGTTACCATTATGATGATTTGATTTTAATTTGTTGGTTGGCTGTCGTCTTGTAGGTTAACTTCAGTACTATATTGATGCTCTGTGATTCCACTATTTCCTTTGACTGTGAATATGTTATCATTAACACTGTCATTGTCCATCAACTTGGCTGAAGGTCAATATGCTGAACCTCGTTCATTTCACTGTCCATCTATGATGAACGATTGTCCTATTGCTGCAAGCACCAAGAGGAATTTTGTCCTGGCCAGGATTCGAACCGTCGTCGGTTCGATCGTGGGTAGGGCAACTTAACCATTCGGCTATTACTCGCCCTTTCCTAGATTTAAAGATTGTAAACTTTATAGTTTTCTTGAGATAAATATCCGAATTCTTTTAGCTGATAAAATATCACAACTATGATAAGTTCAAGAAATGTCTCCTAAGATTCCAATTGATGTTATGTATATATTATATTTTGTTTACTAGAAGAAGACATTGAACAGATTCAATCACCTCTCGATCAGAGTAGCGAGAATTGATTTAAAATAAATCCGCCACCTGTAAAGCATCCACATTCTCTAAATAAGTTACGACAATAAGACAATTCATTGAGGACTGACCTCCGTCGGCCGCGTTGAATACGTTGCATAATCCAAATACGTTCATATCACCGGCCGTAAATACCAGCCTCGTCGGCTCTCGCAATTTCTCGCTAATAAGTAAATATAACACTGTAACCATAAATAAAGCTCACATCATAGAGTCCGATTAATAATAATAATGGACATCCATATAAATGCCACATTGTAACTAAATACACCTTCGGCAGCGCGTCATCCTTGTAGACGTTTGATGGTGCCGGCATTTCATTATTTCGAAATAAAACGGAACCGTCTAGTTTGTCGTTGCGTTGCATTGGTTTGTTGCTTGCCATTGTCGTAAAGAGGATGCGAAATCGTAACTTTAAGTATTTTGCCGCCTCGCGAATAACAATAATGATGATACAGAAGGTACAGCGATTGTTGGTCGAAAAGTAGGTAGAAGAGGTAGGTAGCTAAGAAGAGGTACACGATGAATAAATTAAACGGCTACTTACAATGAACCTTGTCTAGTGAAAAGCATGTTTTCGGGATTCGGTGAATTACGGGATCTTCGCCCGACTAGGGACGGCCACGGAGGTCGGTGGATCCTCGAGTTCGGTATACCCAAATTCCTGTCGCGCGTCGCCTCTTCGTACGTGGGCAGCCCCGACTGAAAACAAAAGAAAAACAAATAAAGTACATACTGATATCCCATTAATCTTATTAATTGCAATTAATATTAACATTTACCAACAGACTACCGAATTCGTGACCAACTCCAAAATCATCATTTTATTTTGTTCAATCCAATACGTAACTTCTACAAATGCTATTGAGAAACGAGATAAAACATTCTGGATAAGTTAAGTAACATCAATGAATCAATACAGCTAAGATTAATTGACTTTGAATTTGTCCCGACTCAAATTTCATATTTTCGCATATTTTATGTAAATTTTAAATTCTTTAATGAAGCAATTACAATGATTAGTATTGTAATTGCAGAGTCATATATCCAGACTGATAAATTAAAAAAAAATAATCGTGATTTAAAAGTCTAATGATGTGATCAAATTTCCTTTCGAACATGGCTATCTCTATAATCAAGTATCATCAAACCATACATTTTCTCGTCTTAGTAACAACGAGCACAAATTAAGTATGGATTAATTAGTAACCCAAAATGTCGATCCATTGTGTGTAGTATTGCCGAATGATGAAAGAAGAAGTGAGAGAACAAAGCTCCAGCGTGTGTGTGTGTGAATTATCGTGGAGAAGGAGTCACGTTCCGCATTGACCCCGGTAATTAGGTGATGATTACATAATTCCCGGTTAAACAATCGGCCCATTATGATTGGCGGTTATCATTTCGGGTCAGCTTTCGTGGTTGTTTGAGACAATGGGAAGGGTTGTGAGCTTCCACCTTCTCGAGGCTCTAATTATCGAGCATTAAGAAAAACCCTTCTATTTCTTCTCTTATTTTTTTTTGTTGGAACATCGCGTTTCGTGAGGCGATAACCGCGCTGACAAAACCTCGGATCATAGCAATTTGCCTTCGTCTCATTGTTATAATTATTTCGGGAGAAGCGGACCTCAAATTGCGGAGCGCATTAAATTAATTTGATTACGTAACCGTCCAGAAGAGCGCCAAGATCGTGACATGAAATCCGGATTTATTTTTATTTTTGTCTTCGAGACCGAAGAACAGTTTACGAACGATAAAATAAAATCGAGAGAAAAGATTAACAAGATTCTCCATAGCAACGTTATTTTCCTGAAAACCAACCATATTATTTTTTCTTATTGAAGTTAAACATGCTACATTCTGTTGAATAAAAATGTTAATTGGTCTCATTAGAGTCGGAACCAAATAACATATAATTTGAAACTAATTCAAGAAATCCTTAGAAGCTTCTTGGCAATTTTCTCAAATCTATGAAATCATCTATATAATGGCTTTAAAAATATTGTTAAACCTAGTTGCTGATTTTAAATATTGTCAGATAATTCTCAAATTTATGAAACTTAAAACTTATATAATTCCAAATCAAATCATATTGTTTGTTGAACTTTTTCAATTACAGTAAAGCAATGCCATAAATGACATTCGAATTCTCATCGAATCATCGTTTAAAGTTGATTTTCTCGTACCTTATCCAGTTGCAATTTAAGTATATGTAATGTTGAGTTTCCGTGGAAACAACGAGATTAATTAATGTCATCGGAGATTTTTGTTCGTCTCGTTTGGAGTTTACTGCGAGAAATTTAATTCCCTTGTCTCAATCAGGCATCGAACGAGTGCGAACAGTGACGTCGTCGCACGTCGATCGAACTAATTGCGATTTATCGTTGTGCAGATTTATTTTAATTGAATTTCGCTCATTTGCCGTGTATTGTGTTCTTAATTGCCGTTGCAATGGTTACATCAGCTCCTCTACATCCACGATACGTTCTTCTCCATTTCATTTGTTTGTTTTGTTGCCCTCCCAAACGTCCCGTGTCTTCCTCCTCCTATCCGACCACCAGGTAGAAAGAAAGAAGACAACTCGCCAAAAAATTACTCTCAGAATGTTAAAAAGAAACAAGTTGAAACGAGGCGGGTGAAAAGAGAGAGTGAGAGGAAGAAGAAACGCAATAATAACACACCGTTCCACACTCTACCGTAATTTCCTTAAACTACTTATCGACGGAATTATAGTTATTTACTTAATTGTCACTTACACAAAGTTTAACTCGGCCGCAAGAGGAAAATAAATATTGAGAGGAATAAAAAAAGGAACAACAACTTAACGTGAAACGTTATCTTGTTGCTGTCATCAAATTGAATTTCGACAAAAATGCATATACATGTCTCACCTAAATACAAATAAATACCGAAGCAGATTATCTAAATAATTGGATAATAATGTTGACTTAGTCGTTACCTAATCCAGTTCTTAGAATATTATGCATTTAAATAGTACATTTTCAATAACCAGAAATTCTAAATCTTCTAACACTTTTAATTACTAAAATTAAAACATCACCAATTAATCAATTACGCTTAAATATCAATCATTAAATGAAATATATTGCTGCAAGTAGTATAGACAGATTTTTTTAGCACATTAAAAAAAATCAATAAATTCAATAAAAATGTAAATGATTGAACGAAATGCGTAGTGGAGAAAGTAAATTGCGGTATTTAAATGCAATTTTCATTCATATTTCACCGCAACTAGACGTGCAACGATTTCAATCGTGATATTTGAAACCTGTTTATAATTAATTTAAGTAGGTTTTGACTCGTATGTAAAATGATAAAGTAACAAGTTTACTTTTAGTACAAATTCTTTTTCACTATAAAAATCAATGAAAGAAATAAATTAGGCTGAAAGATACTTTACTATCAAATGATAAGGAGTTTCGGCAAAAACACGTTATATCAAAATTTACTATGAATTTCTGTATGTGTCATATAATCATGATTACGTAACGTACTTATAATATTTACTTCCAATTAGCTTTTAATTTGATACGAGACAAAATATGTAATCAATAATTTCACAAATTATTATCTATTTAGAGTAATATTAAAATAGACCAAAAAAATTGTTTTCTGATATTAGGTCATATATCAGAAAACAAGATATTTTTTTTAATGTAAACATAAAATGATTTTATTATAGGATTTATACTAATATACTATATCAATTTACTGTAAATAATAATAATTTTTCGACGACGTTTGTAAATCTGCAACATTTAATTACGTAACCAAATTATAATGATTACTTCCAATTAACTTTCAATATGATGCGAGGCAAAATATGAAATTAAGGAAAAATGGAATCGATCAATGATATTTATTATATCACGAAGTATTCATCTATTTTCATTAGGATTAATGCGCGGCTAGCAATTTAAGTTAATTGAGACGTCACGTAACTGTAGATATCTTGGGAATCTTGAGAAGTAAAGGTGGAATGAATGGAATCATGGGCATATCTTCAGTACGGTTTCGTTTGAAATGGGGAGCAAAGGATGAGCAATGGGCCATAATTTAAGATCCGTGGTGTGTCAATTAAAGAGGCCCGTAGTGTTAAGTGGCTGCGTTGAGATTTGGTACATCACGAGTTTTTGGCGGCGGCGGCAGCGGAGGAGGAGGCCGATTCCCGTTTAATTTATGGGTAATTACGTTAAAATCTCGCCCGCCCGTCTCATTATAACTAAATAAATAAGTCGGTCCTCGGGTTGTAATTACCGAAGAATTTGCCCTAAATTATCCGACGACGGCCAACGGTTTCACCTGTCACTATGCAAGAAGGCATATTATGAAAGGCCGCGAAAAACAATTCAATACGTATTTATAATCACGACGTGTTAGTAGTGTGTATAATGTACTCTCTCGCATACACACACACATGTCTACACCCAGCTCATACGTATACACAGACTCGGAGGCATACACATACGTATCGCTGATTAGAATCGTACGGCCGTGGTACAGAAAACCAAAGCCTTATAGGGAAGATGTTTGCCTAGTTTGCTCCGGCATAATTATTATTGATAGTCGCTAATATGACTAAGGATTCGAAATTATTTCACTACTTTCCAATTGCGCAACAACTAAGCGCCACCGAGCTCAGACGGTCTTCGCCGCTCATTTACATAATTAATACTCCAACTCCCAGAATGGACGGTACAGCCACCTGGGGTGTGTTGTTTCCGCGGTTATAGCATAAACAGAGCAAACAAGAATATAGTTTTCTAATATAGCAAACAGTATAAAAAAACATGATGAAGACCTGCTGATGACCTATTGTCAGAACTTGGAAACTGTTAACTACATTACTTTTATATGTGCAATACAAATATATTTAGAAACCTTTCCTATAGCTGACAATATGTTCCAGCATATACAAGGTATGGAAATGTCTTCAATATAGATGGTTTTTCTCGAAATAGGATTAGTAATAAAAGTTAGTTGTACTAATAAAGTAGCTAGTAGTAGTAATCATACAAGTAGCTCTAATTATTAGGATTGTACTGGTTAGAGCACTAGGCCTAGCTAAGTATTGTGTACTCTGGGTTACGTAACTGAATTCGTTAATCATTGTTTTAGGATTTGTTTTACCTGCCCGACTTGCATGCCGTCGGCGAAGGCAATGAGGGCCAACCTATCCGGAGGATGGAGGAGGCTCGCATGGTCAGCCAGATCGGGCCGTGGAACTGGCGGCGGAATGGCGACAGACCGAGACAATGGCTTTCGTTTCCTGCAAACTATTATCAAGCAGGCGACGACCAAAAGCAAAAGGACACCAGCGCCGGTCGCCAGAGAGAAGACAATCGGTTCGCCGCCGTTGGCCTCAACTGAAAGTGAATATCAAAAAATGTCAATGCAAAGAACTGCCCTCGCACTCATCGAAGACCCACACTCACGGTAGTAGTATCGTTGCTTCAACTTGCAAACCGGCGCCTCCGACGGACCCCAACATCCATCCGCCGAGCACGTCAGGATGGATTCACCTTCGAGCTCGTATCCTGGCAGGCAGATGTAAGATATCTGAGAACGCATCGGATAGTTGCATATCTTCATGTCCAGCTCGGACGGGGTCAGCAGGAACGGACTTCCAAAGTACACCTTCGGCGGACAGGGGCATCCACTCACCGGCTCTGCAAAATCCAATAAATCGTATGCAATCAATCATACTGATAACTCAATGTTTCGATAATCAATTAAAATACTCTTACCCACATGATAAATCACTGTTATTATTTCATCACAATGCAATAAATTACATGTCTTATTAAGAACTTTTCCATAATCGACAATTCACTTAGGTAACGACAAAGCCAATTTCTCCGTGAAGATAAATTTTGATTAATTGCAATATTTAACTGAGACAACTGATGAAAACCAATGTGCATATATTACAATTACATTATCAATTATTAGAAGCAAAAATTGTATATGTTATACATTTCTAATTTTCATCTATAAAGTTTAAACATAACATTTTTTCTTTAGAACCCTTACCAGTATATAACTGCATTTATTGTGTATTAATGCAGCACTCAATTAAGACAGGTAATTGTACAAGGAAAGTGTCCTTAAACCAAATTATCGATCTGCGAATCGGTGGGATTTGCGCTCAATCCATTTATGAAACGACCGTCACGAATGCTTAAATGAAAATTAAATAAAATTGAAATAAAAGACAACAACAACAACATAGATGACCTGAAACGTTTATAAAAATAAATAAACGTTATATAATCAAACCAGATGCTTTTCAACAGAACCGTATCATCAATTTCGTCGAATTCATTTGCAAATGGGTAACGCAATTTTTCTAACAGAACATCCTCATTGCAGCTCAGAAATAAAATAACTCAATTTGCGCTAATGGTTTAAGTAATGAGATTTCGCGAAATTATAAGAAAATGGAAATAAGCGTTAATTGAGTTTAAATTAAATACTTAAAACTAATTGCGCTTTAGACATAACGTTGTTAATATTTTTTTTTAAATACTAGTCAAAATCGAAACAATACTAACGACTTCTACATTTGAATGGAGTTTTGCAATTGGAAGAAAGTGTCGTTACGTGAGACTGTGTTGCTTTTGGCGCTGATCTATTAAGTAATTAAATTTCAAGGATTGACGATTCCAAGGATTACATGTTTAAAATCGATGAATGAAACGAAAAAAACTTGGACGCGCAATTAACCCATTCAGATTTTGTAATGCATTGCACATGATTACTATATAAAAGAAGAAAAACAAAACATTCCTATTTATTTTTTTTATAATTTATAAACGTTTAATTTATACAAATTACTTTAGAAATAAACAAATATATAGATTTATAACATGAAAGATTAGAAATATCCGATGATAATAATTGATACAGATTTTAATCTAATTGTTTGTTATGCAACGAGCGATATATATTCAAGAATATATATTTTATATAATAAATTATTTTATATTTATATATATCATTAAATTAGAAAATTATGTTAGATGAATAAAATCAACTGTTAGATAAATGTTCAAATTTTTTCTCGTAAATTAAGAAGGGCAGCAAATTTCCAGCAAATCAATATTATACTAATTGGATACAAATAAGCGTTTATATTTCCATATATATGCAGGTAGTTGGATTTCAGATAAATTTGTTGTTCGGTAAATTGAGAATTGTAAATATAGAAATCAAACATTTGGTTAGACAAATCAACAAACTTTTATATTTGATACTTTTGATGCAAGATTTTGCAAAACGGATTTTTTTTTGAAGAATTTGAATTTGGAAAACTTTGTTTGACTTTGTAGTCAGAATACTTACCACAATTAGGTGGAATTCCCTTCCACTGTCCAGCAATGCACTTCATCCTCGAAGCCTGACAAGGCGAGTTGGTGTTCCTGTACTTGGAGATGCAAAACACCTCGATCTCGGTGCCGGAGAGTGGAGCAGCGATGTTCTGGAAACTGGACAGATCCTTGGTGACGCTGTGAGGGTACGTGGGGGGCTTGGGACACCTCATCTGGCTCTCGTCTGGAACGAAATCCAAAAAAAAAATTACACCAATGAACTCAGAGTACAACCAGTGCCGATTTCCCACGTTTGATCCGGCATTTGAGAGCTCGAGCGATCCGTATCGGACGCTGAAGATGATCTTACATAATCAATTCATTGTGTTAAATAATGGTGATTATCGGCGTCTCCTTTTGTGAGCGCACGCTTTGTTGCCCATCAAGAAAAAAAAGAGACCCCGTGGTACTAGCATTTTCCAATGCTCATACCTATTGGTCATCTCCGCGGTGCGAACAATACGAGAATCGCCGGTAACCCCAGAGGTTATCCATCGTCGTAACCTCCAGGGTCTTCACAAATTAAATGGAATCGCGGCGTGTCATTCTAATTGAGACGTTTCGGACAAGTTCGACCCATTTCACTTGCGGCTTTATCTATGGCTCATGTAAATGGAAACGGTGTAATTTAATGTGGAGTTATTAATATTTGGTGACCTCCCACGTGGAATGTGTGTGTCGGGCGGTCGCGTTCAAAGGTAGTGTATACAGAAGAGTACAGAGGAGCGCGGCGATCCTTGAAAGATCAGAAAACCCCGACCTGGCTCAGTTCGCGAGGGCGGACATCATTACATGCATGCATGTACGATCTTTCCCTTTACTCACCTCTTCTATTTTCCACTCTACATATATTACATTCATCTTTCTTCCATACTCATCATCATCAACAACAACAACAATAAGAACAACAACAACAAGAACAACAACATTACAATTGCCGAATATATAAATAATACATTCATCAAGCGAGAAAAACAATTAATTTACCTTCCATGTTGCTGAACGCATTAAATGCCTGTCCGAATTTAATTCTAGTTTTAACACCTCTGCGTTTATTACGGGCATGTTAATTGTAGGAAACCCATCACGAAACCCCAACACGACGAAGAGATATTTAATTTAATGGCTTTTAATTCAATTTGTACTCAACTGCAGACCACTTTGTAATAATATATTTTTTTCAGCGGCGCCCACGCGCATACCCCTCCATTAAATAATAATTAAAGAATTCATTCCTCGGAGCTGCATGGAAATGATTTATCTTAGGGGATGTGGTTCACCGCAAAAAACTACATTTATCAATTACGATGTACGTAGTTTGTTATATCTTGCAGATATAATAAAACAAAGCAAGGCAAGCTTCAATAGAATAATCATTCGTGTGTTATTTTCATTTGTAATTATTTAAAATAAATAATATTATTATATGAAATCTTCAATATAGAATTCACAGATTAAGTTAATTTAATAACTATATTAATATACCTTTCAATTTCTGCATTTATAAACTAATATATATAAATTGTATGTATCTCTTGCAAAATTTTAAATGTTGATTTAATCTTTAATATCTAAATAAATTTACTAATTCTGATTATATTTCGTATAAATGAAAATTATTTTTGTCTTATGTCCTTTATAAGAATATTGCTCAAAAAATAAATCTCTGTAATAAGAATGAACTTGGTTGTCGTGTTTGTCTTGTAGTAAAATTGTAAGTACTTTAATAAACACGGATCGTTTTTGAGAATTACATTTTTCTGAACACGCAAAGAAAAGCTTAAAGGCCGTTGCCCAAATCTCGGATCTCTGAGCAACATGCACTTTCCTTTTTTCATTTCATTATTTTTTGTCTTGTTTTCATTCAGTTGGAATTAAACTGAAAATTGATAAGGTCTGCAACGAAATTTATGAACGTTGATGTTAATTTATGAAATTTTAATTAAGGCTCTTAACCGGGATATCGTATAAAAACGAAATCAAAATTCCTCGTGTGGCATGGAAGCGTTTAAGATGCCAACAAAAATATAAAAGCGTTTATCATCTTTATCAATAATAAAATTCCCTCCCTGGACGAGACGAGACCGGAGACTTGAGAAATATTTTTGCTCCTCAGCCGTCATTTACGAGGCAGATCTTATCCACTGGTGGAAGGGAAGTGAAGAGGAGAGACGAGAGACAACATCGGACTGTGCCCTGCGTGTATGTATTATATACGTATATGCAAGCACACACCCTATGACCACGAAGACCTGGCGCTCTTTACTCGGAAATCGTCATAATCTCGCATTAAAGAGGAGAGCAGAACAAAAATATGTATTCATATTTATGAAAGGAGTCGCTTTTATTATTGTTCCGTTCCTCGTTCTTGGTTCTCGGTGTGTATGGACCACTCGAGAGCACACTGCACACGTAATATTTATCTGGGATCTGGAACGCCCTCGCGTTAAATAACACAAGTGGAAATATAAGTACGAATGTTATCACAAGCCGAAACCGAACTACGCCCACCTCATCAATTCGGATTATTGTAATCTGGTAGCTGGTGTAATGGTAGAGACCGGCGGCAACGGCGGCTGCACCAGCCCAGCAACCGGACGACTTTTTACGATATTATATAACGCCGGGCCGAAATTTACAAATTAAAACGACGTATCGACCCACGCGAAATATCCAACTACACAACACAAAGTACATAATACGGCAAAAAGAGAAGAGAAAGAAATAAGAAGTAAACATAACCGACTACATTACGGTGCGCTAAGTCACTCGTAATTATTATTTATTGCCCGAGGAGATGTACGAAAAATGAAGAAAACTGGTCTCGCCGCATTGACAACTGAAATTAAATCAAATATGCTTTTAATCCGAACTGAATTATACACGTTCTTTAGTGCTACACAAATCAATCCATAATGCTGCAGTAATACCCTAAATCAAATAATTAGGAGACGTACGAAAAAATGCAGAAAACTGGTCTTGCTGCATTGACAAACTGAATGTAACTCGAATATTCTTTTTTAATCCGAACTGAATTATACCAGTCTTTTTTTATACTGCACAAATCAATCCATAATACTACGATAATAACATAAATCACATAATTAGGAGATGAACGAAAAATACAGACAACTGAAATTAACTCCTATATGTTTTTTTTAAATCCAAGTTGAATTATACCAGTTTTTTTTGGTACTACTCAAATCCATAATTCTACTATAATACCTCAAATAAATTTAAGAATACATGTACCTCGAACTAGATAAATGTCATGTCTTGTTCAGATTTCTACGACAAATCTATATTAATACGTAACAACTTCACACGAAGATTGCATTGTTTAAAAGCAGATTAGATGTTTATTTTTTCTCTTGCATTATTCTTTATCCAAACTTTATACAAATTTGTATTGTTCTATTGTTGACTCATATCAACGGAATTTTGCAGAATGTTACTTTGAATACGAGAACTGCATTAATAGGATTTCAATGTGTTATCGTTGATATTAAAATCTGACAATTGGTATAAATAAATAATTGAATATTTAAACATCATGTATAAATTTACAATGAAAGAAAAAATTGTAAAATTTAAATCTTTCGCGGCATTATTCACATTACCTTATTATTTTTAATTTTATGTATTATAATTCGTAATTCATATAATTCTTAATAAAATTTGAGTAATTAAGAGTTTTTTTAATTATTTAGAAAATTTTAAAAATGTAGAAAGTTATAAATAATAAGTCCAATAAATATAAAGTATTAATCAAGTATTGAATTATTCATTTAAATTTTATGTCAATCTTTTATATACATTTAAAAATAAATTAAATTAATTATTTTTCGTTTAATAAAATTCAATATGTCCTCTATATATAACATTAAAAACCATTAAATAATTAAAATTAATATATAAATTTACTCGTTATTTAAATCAAAAATATGTTTTACGTATTTTGAATATGTATCAACATTTATTAAACTGTTACGCTGAAATTAGCTCATAATTATTAAATTCAAAGTTGGCAAATATAATCAATACACACTCAGCATCAACTCCCTGCACTAGAAATTACTTTAATGTGTATTAAAATTTAAATTATGAAAAAGTAATCTCGTCGGCTTTCAGTGGTTAATTAATTCCCGGGGCGTCTCGTATCTGCTGTTTGGATATCTGGAGGATTTGCCCTAATGCAAACCGAGGATTTGTATTCGCTACCGAATTGATTAACCCTAAGCCATTGCGACCCCTTGCAAATGGCACATGACCTAGAACGCGAGAGCTCGATAAAGCTCGAAACATTTTATTTATGGATGCTTCATCTCTCCTATTCTCTGTCTCTCTGTTTCGATCTCGTACTGAAACGTTCAGCCCTTAATATTGATAGAACTCGGAATAATAAATATAAATTACGAATCATAGTCATGAAACGTATTCAATGTATGATCTCAAAATCGACCGACAAACTGCAATATTTGTTTTGTGAGCTGCGGCCACTATTTAACGATTCCCATTGATATATCGAATGTTTGTTATTTAAATTATGCATGTACCACTTTTAGATGTCCACAAATAATCGGTGATGTAAATTATGTCTCGATTTTAAATTCCCATAAATAATTAAATAAATTGTTAAAATTACTTAAAATATATGCCCTATTTTTTAATTAAAACATCGATGTAATTAATAATATTGAATTTGTTTTCACAAAATAATCAATACACACTTAAAAATAAACAGGTAATTACTTTAATATTACAGGTGCAAATGTGGTTGCATAGGCTGGATGATCAAGTATCTTGTTTCTGAATGTGTAAAGTATTTCAGATAAGAACGTTAATAAATATTACATACAATGATCTAAATAAATATAAGATTATATTTAGATAGATAGTGCGAACAGTAGAATAACGTCGAGCGTTGCGCAAAACTTCTATGAATTATATCCACAATTGCACATTACCAAAAAAAAAAGAATTGTTCCTAAAATTTATTAATTAATATACGGTTTAGCAATTGCAAGCATACACACACTTTCACCGACGCTTGTACATGATTGTTGTTATTTGTTCGCAATGCAACAATAACAATCCAAAAAGGAACCTTGCTTGAAATTTCCAAATGATTACGAAACAAAAAAAATTGCTAGGAGCAAGGAAGAGGTTGTTCAATAAAGAGAAGAAAAAATACAGAGTTTAACACATAAGCATAATTTATTTTTATTTTTTTTACATTTAACAGCAATGATTCGTTTTTCGTTTGGGTATCGCGTGTCCGTTCAGAAACGTCGTTTCATTCAATGATTTCTTCCTTTTTATATTAGGTATATATAATAATATATTGTCACATATTGATTACATCTCATCTCATGTTTCTACAATCTACCGGCCCCGGAAGATATTACCCATTTTGTGAGGCAACTCTATCATCATACATTTATGCAACAGTTACACCCTAATTCCAGATAGTGCTAATAATATTTATGTTTTGTTTGCGTGCGTTGTTTACACGCTCATCAGATCATAATAATAATAAATATATATACAAAATCAACGTATCGTTCGTTTCGACATGAACTACGATCAGCAATATTAATCATATACACATGAGGGGGGAGTGTAGGTTATTTAACTCGTTACTCGTTATATGCATAATACTGGAATGATTTTATTTTAAATAATAAATAAATCATAAATAATAAATTAATTAATAAATACAGTAATAAAGAGAGGAACAATATTCTTGTCATAATAGAGATATCACTATGTGTGGAGTAAATCAATTTTCAAAAGGACTAGCCTCCTAATAAGTAGAAAAATAATGAGCCTTTTTTTGTTTTTCCCTTTTTGTTTGTTTTTTTTATACATAGATATATATGGAATGCATATTTCTGTTTTGTATTCTTCATTCTTAATGATTTCGCAATTATATCTACAACTATATATTGTTTGCTACTTAAGACTCTAATAACATTAGGTGCATCACTTAATATCATTTAGCAAAGGAAAACTCGATCTGTAAAGCTATACCATACGAAATAAATGGAAATAAATTATGGATTGCACAAACTTAGTTATTTACAGTTGAATTTAACTACAGATCGCCGAAGGGATCAAAATTGGCCTCTTGCTTTGGCTGAGCCTGCACCGTGGCCATACGTGGACTGCCCATGGGCTGCATACCCTGGTACTGCTGAGGCATGGCCTGGCCCATTGGTCGGTAAGTGGCACCGGTGGTTGCTGCCATGGGTTGCGGCTGCCAACCGGCCATTTTCGGTTGGTTCTTCGGCGAATTCCACTGAGTTTTACTCGTATCCATGGTTAGGTTATCGACTAGAGAGGAGAGACTTGTTTCCAGATCGCCCGTTAGCAATTTGGCGGGCTGCTGCTTCTGGGGTTGAGGCACGGCGATCGGAGGAGCCTGAGTGGAAATTGGGTCAAAGACGGAAGGCTCATTGCTGTTGAAAACGCTGCCAGTTATTGGCTGCGGATTAGATGGAAAAGTTGTTGGAGGAAATGCTTGTGGCTGTTGTTGTGGTTGTTGAGGGGCTGGCGAGAAACCATTTGCCCATAAGTCAGGTTGCTGAGCTGTGAACATATTACCATTTGTCGCTGTCGTTGCTGGAGTGGCAGAGAACATATCTGTGAACGGATTCCCTAATCCAAGGAGATCGTCCAAAGCACTTGTCTGCGGTTGCTGTGTTTGCTGTTGGGCCGGCTCCGCTGGTTCAGAGAACAGATCCAGAATAGCCTGGTTCGACGCCTGCTGCTGCTGCGGTTGAGGCGGTGCAGGTCTCTGAGGAGAACTCAAGAATGGATTAGTAGAAGCTGGACTACCAACACTAGCTTTGTATTGATTAAGTGCCGCCTCCTCCTCTGCAACAGCAAACTTCACAGTATCATCAATTTGGCTGCTGGCAGCAAAAGAGTTGCTGGTGGTGGAAAGCACCGAAACGCCGGACTTCAAGCTCTTCTGATTGCTTGCCGAAGTAGGGGTGTTGCCTTCCAGAGACGCCAAATGCGCCTCCAGAGTATCTAATAAGCTGTTCGGGGCTTTCGTCAGATCGGGAATATCCCCTTTATCAATCCCAATATTCTCGGCGACTTTCAGAAATTCTCCGACGCGATCCATCCTGATAAGAAATTTCTTGTATAGATCCAACGCCTCCCTGCACTGCTTCTTGTTCATCTCAAAGTACTTCTCAAGCAAATTTATGAATCCATCATTGTAACAAGCAAACAATCTGATGAGATCCCTAAAAAGCAAAATAAAGCACATACTAATAACACCATTTGATAAATCATTTGATGTGCAATCAAATTCCAACAATGCATCTAGTTGAGTCTGCAGTATGGGGAGTGTCTTAAGCAAGTTCTCGGAATTCATGGTGCGGACAGATCCCTCATCCTTGGCCCTCTTCACTTTGCAAAAATCAAATGCAACTGCTCTGTATGAGAGAGCCTTCTCATTCAAGTATCTAGCATAGCGCCTTATGAATGGTGACATGTCATACCCCGTTCTGGCACCAACTGCACTCTGGACCCCAGTTTTATCCACAAAATTTGATAATTGGAATGATACATTACTTGAAGCCAGATACTGGGTAAATCTCTCATTTCCATAGCACATAATGTGGTGGGTGGTGATCAAAGCTTTATAAACCACCACCCAACTGGTACTCTGTGATCGCTCCATAAGAAGGTTGGCCATCTGCGGAATGGAAACATTAGGTTCATTCGTGCAATGGATCAAATAATCCAGATGCTTCTTCTTGGGGCCCAGCAGCTCCTCGGTGGTGGCTTTGCAAACAGATTTAGCTAAGCCCTGGCCTGCTATGCTATGCTTTGCAGCCAAAAGGCGATCATTTATCGTTTGTCCGGCCATCCTGATCTTGCACTGAAGAGTATTTTCGCGTCGTTCTCGAACACCGCACCGCACACAGAGAACAGTTCTAGTTGGAAATTAACTTTTTTTACTGGAGAGAGCTCGGTTCCAGCGCACTAAAAGACGGGACAGAAGACGGGTCGATTGGGAGAGAATCAGGCCGCCTGTGAAATCAATACAGAAACAAGCGCGCCCTCTCCCAACGCTCGCGAATAGCACACGCGCGACTACCGAACGAAAGACCCGGCGATTCGCGAATCGTCGGCGCGTTTTTCAAATGAACATCCAATACTCAACTACAACTACTAAACTTACTCGTACTAAAGCAAATACTCTCATATCTATGATTTAAAAAAATAATAATAGTAAATACGAATAATACGAACCATTGGCTACACATATTGGTGGTGTTCTCGGAGACCAGTTCCCATCAGGCTCACACTTTTGAGTATTATTCCCCTTCATGATGTACCCACTGTTGCAAACATACTTAACACTTTGCCCAACAGCAAAATCATCCAAATATTCAATCTTTGGATGCTCATAATACCCATTCTTAATTTCTTTCAGCTGCTTACAATTTCTAACACGCTCCTCATAAACACAGGAAAAGTTGGTACCAAGCCAATAGCCCATCTCACAAACTTGATATTGACCCTTTGGTGGTGACAACAAGTACCCATCATAGCAATCATATGTGGCCACTGTACCAGGCTTATAAAAACCCTTTGAATCACTGTCGCTATCAATTTCAACCACATGCCCATACATAATACGAGGAGGCTCGTTGCACTTCCTCATACATTTTGGCTTTCTGCTATAGTCCCATTTACCATCCCTGCAAAACACTTTGCTCTGCCCAACCAATTCATGGTTTTCATTACAGACCACTTCAAAGCCCAGGGGAGCCGATGATAACTGGTTAACTCTACCATTCTGGATGAAACTGAAGTCTGGGCATTTTGGTATTATGTTGTTGTTCAAGTCTAAATCGTTGGCAGTTGAAAACTGTGCGAAATAACAAAGTACCAAGCAGGAAAATAGTGGAATCATTTTCTTTGATGTGTATGCAATGTATTTTTATAGTCGACTACAGCATTTTCCCCTTCACAGGTTGGCGCGATCACTTGACTTACACTCACTAAATACTAAACTAAACACTGTCAACTTAATTGAATTTGGCAATCATTGTTTTGTTTCCAATCTGCCTGACAGATGCATCGATCAGCTGTTCTAAGCCAAGGACTCGATTCGGCAGAAAACAGAGACAGACATTGTAGTTCCCTCATTATTTGTTCGCAGCCATCTTCATTTTGCTACCAGCTACTTATGGCTTCCTAATACCACATCAATTAGCTACTATTACAAGATTATACTAATTTTTAAAAATCACAAAGTAAACTACTTTCTTTCCATAACGTTTCAAATAGTCAACTAAATTTATCTAATACATCTGCAACACACAATACATTGTCATCAAATATTTAAAAATATACTATACTTCTTAGGTTCTCTATTGCATACAACTATTTTATTTTTCAATGAAGCTAAAGGTAGTAAAACTAATTTTAAAGCTACATTTCTACAGAGAATATATTTTTTAGAATATATTTATTATTAGAGGTCTATTATAAAAGCGTAAATAACTTGATAAATAAGTTGATAATTTTGTTAATATTGATTTGTAATGTAGCATCAGAAAAACATAAATGATTACTGTTTAGTTTCTGTTTTTATTAATTTATATGCAATATTATTACTTACGATTTAAATAGACATTGCACTGGATTAATAAGAATCAATAAAACGAGCATTTTCTCTACAATCTAAAAAATCGTGTATACATGCATATATATATATGTATACACATAAACATTAATAAAATAAATTATATTTTCTTCGATACCAGGACTACTTCCACCTCTGTGAGTCCTTTTAACATTTTATTCATTATTTCCAGCTTCTTCTTGACAGTTGTGATCTTTTTGTAATCATTTATATTTTTTAAAGTCTCTTCGGGCGTCGTTGAAGGAGAGTCGGTAACCAAGTAGTGCTTAGTTTTGTACCGTGTGGGTACTTTTTGTTTTTTAACGATTCCTTTCTTGCAGATAGTCCCAGTTTTCCTTATTTGATTGTCTTCTGGCAAGTCGAAATTGATTCTTCTGCACGTATGGTTATTTGGACCTTTCGGTGTCGTGGGAACGTCCACGAATACTCTTGCGTCTCGTTCAGGTGATTTTGGATAACGTCTGCGATCAGTCGGTGTCCTGGGGGACCTGACGGCTATTTGCGAATGGGAAATTCCGCTGTCATCGCACGTTTCCGATACAGAAACTTTAACACTCGAATCGTCGTCATAATTTTTACTCCTACGTTTCTTATCCATTTTGTATGACTCTTTCAATTTTTCTAGATACACTTCACTGAACGCTTGTAGAATCAAC